TTATATTGCAGCCATTTGCTAAAATCATTTAAGTTAATTTTTTTTCCTCATTAATGTACACACAGCACCCCATATTGACAGAAAAACACAGAATTGTTGACATTTTTGCAGATTTATTAAAAAAGAAAAACTGAAATATCGTGGTCCTAAGTATTCAGACCCTTTGCTGTGACACTCGTATATTTAACTCAGGTGCTGTCCATTTCTTCTGCTCATCCTTGAGATGGTTCTACACCTTCATTTGAGTCCATCTGTGTTTGATTATACTGATTGGACTTGATTTGGAAAGCCACACACCTGTCTATATAAGACCTTACTGCTCACAGTGCATGTCAGAGCAAATGAGAATTATGAGGTCAAAGGAACTGCCTGAAGAGCTCAGAGACAGAATTGTGGCAAGGCACAGATCTGGCCAAGGTTACAAAAAAATTTCTGCTGCACTTAAGGTTCCCAAGAGCACAGTGGCCTCCATTCCTTAAATGGAAGACGTTTGGGATGATCAGAACCCTTCCTAGAGCTGGCCGTCCGGCCAAACTGAGCTATTGGGGGAGAAGAGCCTTGGTGAGAGAGGTAAAGAAGAACCCAAAGATCACTGTGGCTGAGCTCCAGAGATGCAGTTGGGAGATGGGAGAAAGTTGTAGAAAGTCAACCATCACTGCAGCCCTCCACCAGTCGGGGCTTTATGGCAGAGTGGCCCGGCGGAAGTCTCTCCTCAGTGCAAGACACATGAAAGCCTGCATGGAGTTTGCTAAAAAACACCTGAAGGACTCCAGGATGGTGAGAAATAAGATTCTCTGGTCTGATGAGTCCAAGATAGAACTTTTTGGCCTTAATTCTAAGTGGTATGTGTGGAGAAAACCAGGCACTGCTCATCACCTGTCCAATACAGTCCCAACAGTGAAGCATGGTGGTGGCAGCATCATGCTGTTGGGGTGTTTTTCAGCTGCAGGGACAGGACGACTGGTTGCAATTGAGGGAAAGATGAATGCGGCCAAGTACAGGGATATCCTGGACGAAAACTTTCTCCAGAGTGCTCAGGACCTCAGACTGGGCCGAAGGTTTATCTTCCAACAAGACAATGACCCTAAGCACACAGCTAAAATAATGAAGGAGTGGCTTCACAACAACTCTGTGACTGTTCTTGAATGGCCCAGCCCGAGCCCTGACTTAAACCCAATTGAGCATCTCTGGAGAGACCTAAAAATGGCTGTCCACCAACGTTTACCATCCAACCTGACAGAACTGGAGAGGATCTGCAAGGAGGAATGGCAGAGGATCCCCAAATCCAGGTGTGAAAAACTTGTTGCATCTTTCCCAAAAAGACTCATGGCTGTATTAGATCAAAAGGGTGCTTCTACTAAATACTGAGCAAAGGGTCTGAATACTTAGGACCATGTGATATTTCAGTTTTTCTTTTTTAATAAATCTGCAAAAATGTCAACAATTCTGTGTTTTTCTGTCAATATGGGGTGCTGTGTGTACATTAATGAGGAAAAAAAATTAACTTATATGATTTTAGCAAATGGCTGCAATATAACAAAGAGTGAAAAATTTAAAGGGGTCTGAATACTTTCCGTACCCACTGTATGGCATAGTTTTGGTGATTATTTATTTTTAACTTCACAGAGGTGATAGATATTATGAACTAGCACTGCTCAAATCAATTTAATTAAATTTTTCCCCCATTTTTTGGTAAGTAGTCATTATGATTCTGATCCAGTTAACCAATTTATTTAAAATATTTTTTTTCTTTTCTTGACAACAACAGATGCTGATGACTGGAGTGAATGATTCTTAATAAATAAGAAACATGGTAAGTCACTCTGTATGTTTTATGCTTTGTTATTATTAACCTAAAACTACCTCATATGAGCGTTTGACCTGCTTCTGTCATGTTGTTCATTTCATTTGTTCACTGTATTCATGTATCTTCTACAAATCACAGATCCGGATAGCTGCTCTGAATGCAGCATCTCATGCTGCAGATGAGCATGAAGACGCCTTCAGAACCACTAAAACAAGTCAAACGAAGGAAGCCCAGGTGAGTCAGATGCTTTCAAGTAACTTTTTCCTTTTGGTCGGTTTCATGTATTTTTTTAAACCCTTTAAAGCCTGAATTTTTTTTTCAGTGGAACTGTTTATTGAACCTTTTGGCAAAATGTACATGAAAACGTTTGCGTATGTGTTTTTTTGTTGAGTATCATATTGGATAATTCTAGGGCTGTCGCGATTCGTCGATTTTATTAGACTATTAAATTTTTAAAAATCCTCGACTTCATTTTGCTCGCGTCGACTAAAATAAAAAGAATAAAAAAAATAAATAAAATAAAAGTGGCGCATTTCACGGACGAGAATCCATTAAACACATTATTAGGCTGTTGCCCAAGGCTGCATGATATATTAAACCCATTTAAAAATCATGATTAAGCATAATTGTGAATTCACAAACGCCACGATTTCATTAAATAATTATATGCGATGCAGTTCTAATACAGTATATGTGCTTTAATTATTTATATGCGTGTAGGCAGGGCCGGATTTATGCATAGGCATTCTAGGCACGTGCCTATGCTCGCTCATCCAGGGGGGGCACAAACACAATGAAGAGAGATATATAATTTTTTTTTTAAAAAACTCAATCTACAAGAGTAAAGAACCAAAAGCCCAGAAGACAAATATAACAACCAATAGGGTAAAAATGACAAGTTATTTCCATGTTTTCCACCTTTTTATGTAGCTATGGAAATTGTGCTTTCTTTCTCCCGTTCTCGTTCTCAGATGCACATACACAGACGCACACATGCGGAGATGCGGACAGAAACTCGTTGTCAGTGCTGCCCCGCGAATTTATCAATAAAATTGTTTCACAGCTGAAAAGCTACATGACATCTCTTAGTAGCGAGGTTCTTGAAGCAGTTCAACTGAAAGATTCGCTATTATTAGATACACTGCTGCTGAGAGATGCACAGACGCAGGTATTCACACGCGCTTAATCTCTCTCTCTCTCTCTCCCTCTCCCTCTCTCTCTCTCTAATAACTGCATTAGCATGCATATCTATAGCGCAAGTCTGTTATTAGCTTTAAAATGACATTTTGGAATTTGCAACGGAAGGTTTGGGATGATGTGCATAAGAAATTACTTCAACACACAAGATTTCAGGACGGAAACATGACAGATGTCTTGAAATAAATCATCTGAACAGTGTCTTGAGGTGGTTGTGACTCCAGGCCATTCAAATCATTAGAGAAACAATGCACTCCCGAAAGTGGTATGGCCACGATGCCGGAGCCTATTAATAGAACGGTTCTCCGTTATCAAAGAAAGAACTACATTCAATCTTTATTGGCTGATAATATTTACCAAAATAAACGGTCGTAACACTGAACATAGGCGCTTATTGTGATAGAAAACACTGTAACAGTTATCACTGATTACGAAATATTTTTGTTTGCTGCACAGTAATGTGTAAAAATAATCATTAGGCCGTTGGTGCCCTCTGCAGGCGTTTGTTGTAATGCGTAATGTACATTAGCTCTATTGTTTATAATACATTATGTATTTTAACAGTTTTGTTCAATAAAACCATATGATTTCTTGCTTTTGATACTTTATTTGAACTAATTATTATTGCCTCATTGCTATTATATATGTATTTTAAGTCATTTTAAAGGCTATTGTTCACTTACATCTATTTTTATTACCACAAAAAAAATACATTATAATTATAGGGCCCTATGAAATTTGTTTTATTTCCAAATTGAGTTTTGTTCCATTTTCATTTTTCAATTTTCATTTTTATTAATCAAAAAGCCTGTCTAATTAATTGAGTTTTACAGTTTTATCTTTACCAAATTCTGATTTCCATTATTTTCTGGATTCCATTTGAATGGTTCCATTACATTTCATTCCATTCCATTAAATTTTAATAATCAAAAGCATCTCCAATTAATTGATTTTATTTAAAAAGAAGAAAAAAAGTTTTTTTTCTTTTTTTCAGAAATACTGCACATTTAAATTGTTCTCCTAAATAAATTCTGGTAAATAACATTTCTGGTAAATACTCCTTTAAAAAGTGTTTATTATACTTTTATTATTAGTAGACTAGAACACGTGGATATGTTGTCATTCTTACACTATAATACTGAACTTTGATTTCAGTGATTTGGACTATGAGATGGATGCACTTTACTTTTGCTTAAAAAAAAAAAGGATTTCATAGAAATTTGGATTTAATTTGGTTTAATAAAATATAGTTTCATAAAATATTCTTAAGTAAAATTGTTGATTTTTGGGGGGGAAATTAATCGTTTAGATGAATTGATTCATCTATAAATTAGTCGATAGATTAATAGAAATAAAAATAGTCGTTAGTGGCAGCCCTAGATAGATCAGGCTTTGGCTCATATAATATAGGAGAATATATGCAGCTCATTTTTATTGAATAAAAAACATCTTTTTTTTTTTATTCAGAGGCCCAAACTGAGCAAAGAATATGCAATTTGTTGCAGATGCTGATATTTATTAGAGTAAAATGAAATTATGAATGTAATCTTTTTAGATCTTTATAACAGTATAGCAGACTACTCGCATAAAATGCATATAAATATCAGTTGTCACTGTATATCTCTCAATAATGTCTTAGTTTTTTACTGTGGGGGCAAAACATATAATGCAATGCAATACAATGATGATTGAGAGATATACAAATAAACCATCAAAAGACTGATAGATCCTTTTTAATGCTCACATTTTAACATGATATTTCTAAAAACTAATGTATGGATAATCAAGTAAACATAAGTTGCTTCAATCCATCGTGAATATATTCCTAATAATATAAAAGTGATTACATTTACTTTATAAAAATCGGTCACTTTTTACTTAAGTATGAACTGTCAGTCAGATGACAGAAACATGTAGATTGTGAACAACAGGCTTTTCAGCAGTTATGGTCATGCTGATCATTTAGAGGCCTTTTTTGTTTATCAAATATGATACGGTAGGCTAGAAGGGGTTAATAAAAATAAAATGGTTCAATCCAATTTCACCGTTTCCTTCTCATTTGTATTGCAGGAGGCAGAAGCGTTTGCTCTCTATCATAAAGCTCTTGATCTGCAGAAACATGACAAGTTTGACGAGTCTGCCAAAGCCTACCATGAGCTCCTCAGGACGCCGCTGCTCAAGGAGGTACAGCAGACTCTGATCATTATAACATCTTACCATGAAATCCAGAATATCTTTCATTTTATATTTAGCTTTAGCTTTATTATTGCTTTCTGATAAATTGTTAGTGATCGTTTTTTTCTTTCTTGCACCAGGCAGTGGCATCTGAAGATGAGAAAGTTGGACTCAAGCATCCTGGGCTGATGTTGAAGTACTCCACCTATAAAAACCTGGCCAGTCTCGCTGTGCTCAAAGATGATTTAGACACTGCCATGGACTTCTATGTGCAGGTAAATGTGTACTTTGAACAAATCACTAAGTGCAAGTCTCATAATTTGTCCTGCGTGCTCACTTAGCAATTTAATTGAACTATACTACCATTCAAAACTTTGGGGTCAGCAAGACTTTTAATTTAAGGGTTAGTTCACCCAAAAATGAAAATTATTGTGTTTTATACACCTAGGTGTATATGACTTTCTTCTTTCAGACGAATCTAGTCAGAGTTATATAAAAAATTGTCCTGGCTATTCCAAGCTCTATCATTGCAGTCAGCGGGTGTTGCAGTTGAGCAGTCCACAAGTCGTCAAATAAAAGCTCATGCATTCATAATAAAACATGCCGCAGACGGCTCCGGGGGATGAATAAAGGCCTCCTGTAGTGAATCCATGTGTTTTTGTAAGAAAAATATCCATATTTCAAATGTAATAAACACTTTTCTCTCACTTCCGCTGACTGTCATACACTGAAGCAGTTCCGGTGGATGACGCAGCACGTATGCGTTGCGTGATTAGTGACGAATGCAGAGAGAGAACAAAACAAAACGCAGGTCATGAATTAGAAGTACAAACCGAGGATTTGCAAAGAAAAATGTCTGAGGATTTCGATATAAACCAAGAAGAGACTGGTTTTCTTTGCTAAAGTAAGGAAACTTTGCTTCCTCTGCTCTTATAAACAAACTCGCGAGACTAGCATATCTCGCATACGTGCTGCGTAATCCGCCGGAACGCCTTCCGCGTATGACAGACACCTAGGGCTGGGTATCGTTCAAAAATTTCCGATACCGATATCTTGACTTCGATACCGGTTCCTGAACGATACTTCTTTCGATAACAATTTTATGAAATCAATTTTAACAATATTACATTATCTAAAAAAAAAAACCTTGGTTTTATTTTTCAGCTTGTTGACGTTTATACAAACTCAAAGACTCATCTCCTGAGCCACTGCACAAAGGAACAAAGTGTAACCAACACAATAAATCAGTGCAAATAGTTTTAATAAAGCTCAAATAGTCTTCAGTTTACACATCTATTAGGCTACATTTACACTAGTTAGTGTTCGTTTTAAAACGCATAGCTTAGACAGAATCATGATTTCTATTCATTTTCCACTGATTTACTGATGAGCATTAGCAGCTTCCAGCTCTGTCTGCTTGTGTTCTCTCTTCCATGATCGCTGCTCTGACTCTGACTGAGGTAATAACATATTTAATTTCAGCAACATTACATGGTCAAAACACACATTAGACGGCAATCTGAAGTCTCGATGGTGGTTTAAAGTGAGTTTTGAGTAAAAGCGGAATATAAATCTTATTTATTGTCTTATGTAACATGATGCTACAGTTTGCATGAATGGTCACATAACATGCGCTGTCGGTCGTGTAACGTTAGTATGAACGGACATCTGCATATGATCGGAACTCCACGCAGCTCCTGCGCTACTCTCCATTGGAAATGAATGACCGGTCTGTCGTTTGTCGGAGATACAGTGGAAACGCCAGTATGATGAGGATCGTTTTCGTTTTAGAACATAAACGCACCAGTGTAAATGTAGCCTTACATCTAAGGGGACTGGGACGCATTCACACTACAGCCTCTCTGAGTGTAACCGGTGTAAACTAGAAGGTATGTTCGACTTGACGCGGACCGACTGTGCAGTGCAGACCGATCAGTGTAACAACAGAGCAGACTGCTCCATGCGCTTTCGAATCGCTTTCGCGGATGTCAAACACTGATCGATCTGCGTCGCACCTCTTCTAGTCGAACGTTAGTATGAACGGACATCTGCATATGATCGGAACTCCACGCAGCTCCTGCGCTACTCTCCATTGGAAATGAATGACCGGTCTGTCGTTTGTCGGAGATACAGTGGAAACGCCAGTATGATGAGGATCGTTTTCGTTTTAGAACATAAACGCACCAGTGTAAATGTAGCCTTACATCTAAGGGGACTGGGACGCATTCACACTACAGCCTCACGTGTGCGCCACATCCCTGAGTGTAACCAGTGTAAACTAGTAGGTGTGTTCGACTTGACGCGGACCAACTGTGCAGACCGATCGGTGTATTACAGTACCACGAGAGCTAAAGAGAGCAGACTGCTCCGTGAGCTTTCGAATCGCTTTCGCGGATTCAAAAACTGATCGATCTGCGTCGCACCTCTTCTGGTCGAACACAACGGCTAGTGCTGCAGGGTTATTGGCTCACTGACGCTGATGAGATTAACCCCTTAGATATCGAAATTTGGTACCGATCGACGAGACGTTTTTCGATACTCGATGGTATCGAGGCAATTAGGGTCGGAGCCTAAAAAGTATCGAACTCGATACCCAGCCCTACAGACACCGGAAGTGAGAGAAAAGTGTTTATTACGTTTGAAATATAGATATTTTTCTTTTAAAAAACCCACATGGATTCGCTACAGGGGGCCTTTATTCATCCCCCGGAGCCATCTGTGGCACGCTTTATTATGAATGCATGAGCTTTTATTAGGGATGCTCCGATCCGCCTTTTTCGCTTCCAATACCGATTCCGATACCTAGGGTTCAGTATTGGCCGATACCGATTCCGATCCGATACCAGTGAAGTTTTTTTCCCTCATTTAAATAAATGTAGAATTTATATATCTCTGTGTGTGGAACTGATAATCATTCTTTCACAATCTACTAGATACAGACTACTTCATTATAAAGAAAAATAAAATAAACAAATGAAAAAATATAGGCCTATGTATATTTATAATCTATGAAAAAAATTATCATAAACTAGGTTAGTGGATAATTCGGCAGCAAAATTTATTCTAGAAAAATCAGTGCACAATAATTTTAGAAATCCAAACATTTAGTGAAAAACAATATTTTGTGGGGAACAAATAAAAGTGTTAAATAAGGTAAAATGTTACACATTGCTATTTGTATTATTATAAAATCTAGGGATGGATTTAGTCGCATATGCGAGTGATTTACTCGCAATGTAGAGTGTTGACAGTCTATGAACACGAAGCGCATACAATGTGTGCACATTAAGTGATTCGTGTTAAAAACTGCAAAGCACAAAGTGAAGAGAAATTGATGCATAGTGTATTATATCTGTGCAACAGTTATTGAGCCTTTCTTTTAACAGTTTAAAATTTCAGTTACTGTGCACGTTAAAAACAATTTATAGTCTTTTCTACGCCCATGTTTTGTTCTCACAGACACCCGGTAGCAAGTAACAAAACATTAAACTCCGGGCAAGAAGATAAAGTCCTTTTTGCAAAATCATAGACATGTATTTACTAATCAAGTATAATGGGAACACAGAATGATCTTGGAGAGAGCTTTACCAAACTGACTGTCGTAACTGAATGTGACCAGGGTTTAAAGGCTGAACGAATGAGTGACAGCCACAGCGGAGAAAAGAGTTTGTGTGAACTTTAATGTAAGGACTTAAATATTCATATGTAGCTTACATTAAGCTATCGTATGGCTTCAGAAGTAACACAGAATAATTCGCACAATTGGAAAAAAAAAATAAAAATCTCAGATTTGGATCGTTTCTCTCTGCCCGATACCCGATCCGAGAAAAATGGCACTATCGGAGCCGATACCCGATATGAATATCGGATCGCGCATCTCTACTTTTATTTGACGACTTGTGGACTGTTCAACTGCAACACCTGCTGACTGCAATGATAGAGCTTGGAATAACCAGGACAATTTTTTATATAACTCCGACTAGATTCGTCTGAAAGAAGAAAGTCATATACACCTAGGATGTCTCAGGGGTGAGAGTAAAACACAAGCTAATTTTCATTTTTGGGTGAACTAACCCTTTAATACTTTCATTTAGCAAGGATACATTAAATTGATCAAAAGTGACTGTAAAAGCGTTTATAATGTTATGAAAGTTTTCTGTTTCAATTAAATGCTGTTCTTTTGAACTTTCTATTCTTTGTATTCAGGGTTTCCACAAAAATATTGCTATTTGCAACATTGATCATTTTTAAGAGATAATTTTTTGAACTGCAGATCAGCATATTAGAATGATTTCTGAAGGATCGTGTGACACTGAAGACTGGAGTAATGTTGCTGAAAATTCAGCTTTGATCACAGCAATAAATTACATTAAAAAAAATATTCCAATAGAAAACAGTTATTTTAGCTTGAAATAATATTTCACAATATTACTGTTTTTTTTTTTCAAATAAACGCAGCCTTGGTGAGAATAAGAGATCTTTCACAGACATTAAAACATATTATAGACTCTGAACTTTTGAATGATAGTGTACATGTGTTTTTAATTTGGTATTAGTTTCATTAACCAGACAATTTGGACACAGTTGGGTCTCTAATATGAGTCTCTGACTGTATATATGTGTCTTGCAGGCTGTCATGCTGGACTCCACCGATGTGAATATGTGGTTTAAGCTGGGAAAGTTGGCCTTGAGGAAGGCCAGCATGCCTTTGGCCCGTCATGCGTTTGAGGTGGGCTTACGCTGTAACCCGGACCACTGGCCCTGCCTAGACAGTCTCATTACGGTCCTCTACGCTCTGAGTGACTACAGCTGTGAGTCAGAAACCTCTGCACAACTGTACAACATACACCGTTCCCATGCTCACTGCAAGATGTGGATTACAACTTTGGAGTTTTGGAAACCGAAATGTTTTGGATTTTAGAAACCCAGATCCTCTAGAATCAGGCCACAACTATAGCTGTCATCAAATTAATTCATTAAATATTCATTATTTCTTCTGGACATAAAATCAAAATTTACCCTGCATGATTCATTAGTGCTCAGATTTATCATTTTTAATCAACGGATCTCTGAAACAACATTCTGCTTATGTAACTAAGGCTGTATACTAGTGCATAGACAAGGAAACATAACACACTTTGCATTTTTCTGCTAAGTAGAGAATGCAACAGTCCAGTTCTGGAAGTAAAAATTCATTTTTTCATAAAGACCTAGATTTTAAAAGCATATGCATTTAAAAGTATATGCTACTCTACAGTAAGTCAGTGTGATTTCATATCTGTTTATTACTGGATATTTTGCAGCAAAAACAAAATGTATGTACCAGTAAATGAATGGATGAATTAATAGATTAAATATATAGTGTGTATGTAGTTTTCCTCCAAAAAAAAAAAGCTTGATGGTTTTACTTATTACATAAATATCACAATAATATATTTTAAGATAATTATTAAATTATAATATAAAATAATTTTACAGTTGTACTAATATTTCTATAATTTTTTTATGTATGTAAATGTTTTTTTTAAATATTTATTTTATAGTACAGTAGAATTATTATAGTAGTTGTGTATATCTTATTTAGTTTAATATTTTTATTTATTCCATCCATTCTTTATCCTTCTTTCTGCTACTTCGTAATGTCACAGGATTTTAATTTACTTAAAAATAACAAATATTGTTATAATAATAATAGTTTTTTTATAGTCAAAATAAATAGATTAAAATTGCATTGTTGCCTGTAATAACTCAAGTTGTCTTTAGTTTTGTAAGGTTCTTATAAATCTAACCAAGTGTGAACACCCGATTTTTTTCAAAGATTTTCTCAAATATATATAATGGGAAAATACTTCTGGAGCCAAGGCCACTGAACAAGTAGGCCGTTACTGTTGTGAATGCTGTTTTATGCCATCTTTGCGGGCATAAAGGTTTGTAATCCTTTACCTTGATTTCCTGCCGCTAGCTTTTCATCATATTCTGAGTTAGCAGAGTAGTCACAGCATTATGTTCCGGTCTGTTTGTCCATAGGTTGTCTGTACTACATCTGTAAGGCTCTGGAGAAGGACACGGGTTACAGTAAGGGACGAGTGCTCAAAGAGAAGATCTTTGAAGAGCAGCCCTGCCTCAGACGAGACTCTATGAAGATGTTCTCCAAACTGTATGTTCCTTTGATTACTCATTCAGCTGAGCTTATAATGTGGTATCCACCATTTGTACTGTTGACGAAGAAACTTTGTAATGTTCATCACCCTGTGTCTGTGTGCATGTGTTTTGGCTGCACTGCAGTGATGTATCAGTGCAGTATGTGGATGTAGATGAGGAGGAAGCCCACAGCATTGTAGAGGAAGCGCTGGAACTGAGGAGACAGAGACAGGCTAAACTCACACGGCATCCTGTAGCTGACCTGCAGCTGGTTCAGCCCATCAAATACTTCACGTGAGTCCATGCCACCATTAATCCACAGAGAGTTTTGGCTGCTTTGTTTGAAGGAATATCATGGGATATTATCAGTAATATTATTTATTTGATTTTTTATGTCTATTGACTGCTTCTGTGACAAATTAAAAATGTAAAAGCAATCGATAGTTTAATGTTTCATCATCGACGGTATAAAATAAATTAATACTCCTCAATATTTTTATAGATTATTCTTAAATCCACATATATTTATACCGGTTGACAGATTTCTGCTTATTTTTACTGTCTACTGTTCAAAAGTTTGGGGTCAGTAAGTTTTTAAATTTTTTTTTATTATTTTAAATGTTCTTGAAAGAAGTCTCTTATGCTCACCAAAGCTGCATTACAGTAAACAGTAAAATACAGTAAAATAGCTATATTGTAAAATTTTACTACTGTTTTTTCTTTTAGTATATAACAAAACATAATTTATTCCTGTGATGCAAAGCTAAATTTTCAGCATCATTACTCCATGATACTTCAGCAATCATTCTAATATGCTTATTTGGTTTACGGGAAACATTTATTATTAGGCCTAATTTATTAAATTATTATTGTGCTGCATGGTATTTTTTATTTAATGATTAGAAAGATAGAACATTATAATGTGTTTAATGTCACTTTTGATCATTTTTTTTAACCTTGCTGAATAAGTTTTAATTTCTTTCACAAAAAAAAAAACGTAGTGTATTTTGAATGGTAGTGTATATCGTTCATCTCTAGCTAAAGCTCAAATTAAATTGAATAATATTAAAATTAATTTTAAAAATACGTTTTTTTTTCTTTTTCAAATCAAAAAGGCCTACTTATTAAATATTAAGTCTTAAGTCGCTGGGGTATATTTGTAGCAATAGCCAAAAACACATTGTATGGGTCAAAATTATAGATTTTTCTTTTATGCCAAAAATCATTAGGACATTAAGTAAAGATCATGTTCCATGAAGATATTTTGTAAATTTCCTACTGTAAATATATTAAAACTTAAGAACTTAATTTGGACAACTTTAAAGGCGATTTTCTCAATATTTAGATTTTTTTGCACCCTCAGATTCCAGATTTTCAAATAGTTGTATCTCGGCCAAATATTGTCCTATCCTAACAAACCATACTTATCTATTCAGCTTTCAGATGATGTATAAATCTCAATTTCGAAAAATTGACCCTTTTGACTGGTTTTGTGGTCCAGGGTCACAAATATTATTAATAAAATATATTACTAAGTATTCAAGTATTATTTTGCTGTGTGTCTGTGCGATGCATCTAATCCGTATAGGTGGAAGAGTGTTGGGGAGAGTTTCTTGGCGATGTACAAACACCAGAACGCTTGTCTGGTCCCAAGGCCTGACTTTGGGCGTATTTGATTTTTTATGTCTATTGACTGCTTCTGTGACAAATTAAAAATGTAAAAGCAATCGATAGTTTAATGTTTCATCATCGACGGTATAAAATAAATTAATACTCCTCAATATTTTTATAGATTATTCTTAAATCCACATATATTTATACCGGTTGACAGATTTCTGCTTATTTTTACTGTCTACTGTTCAAAAGTTTGGGGTCAGTAAGTTTTTAAATTTTTTTTTATTATTTTAAATGTTCTTGAAAGAAGTCTCTTATGCTCACCAAAGCTGCATTACAGTAAACAGTAAAATACAGTAAAATAGCTATATTGTAAAATTTTACTACTGTTTTTTCTTTTAGTATATAACAAAACATAATTTATTCCTGTGATGCAAAGCTAAATTTTCAGCATCATTACTCCATGATACTTCAGCAATCATTCTAATATGCTTATTTGGTTTACGGGAAACATTTATTATTAGGCCTAATTTATTAAATTATTATTGTGCTGCATGGTATTTTTTATTTAATGATTAGAAAGATAGAACATTATAATGTGTTTAATGTCACTTTTGATCATTTTTTTAACCTTGCTGAATAAGTTTTAATTTCTTTCACAAAAAAAAAAACGTAGTGTATTTTGAATGGTAGTGTATATCGTTCATCTCTAGCTGAAGCTCAAATTAAATTGAATAATATTAAAATTAATTTTAAAAATACGTTTTTTTTTCTTTTTCAAATCAAAAAGGCCTACTTATTAAATATTAAGTCTTAAGTCGCTGGGGTATATTTGTAGCAATAGCCAAAAACACATTGTATGGGTCAAAATTATAGATTTTTCTTTTATGCCAAAAATCATTAGGACATTAAGTAAAGATCATGTTCCATGAAGATATTTTGTAAATTTCCTACTGTAAATATATTAAAACTTAAGAACTAAATTTGGACAACTTTAAAGGCGATTTTCTCAATATTTAGATTTTTTTGCACCCTCAGATTCCAGATTTTCAAATAGTTGTATCTCGGCCAAATATTGTCCTATCCTAACAAACCATACTTATCTATTCAGCTTTCAGATGATGTATAAATCTCAATTTCGAAAAATTGACCCTTTTGACTGGTTTTGTGGTCCAGGGTCACAAATATTATTAATAAAATATATTACTAAGTATTCAAGTATTATTTTGCTGTGTGTCTGTGCGATGCATCTAATCCGTATAGGTGGAAGAGTGTTGGGGAGAGTTTCTTGGCGATGTACAAACACCAGAACGCTTGTCTGGTCCCAAGGCCTGACTTTGGGCGCCGCATCGACCTGTCAATGTACCGCGACCCGGACTACCTTGTGCAAACGCCCACCAGCACTCCAGCACCCACCACTGTTGCTGCAGACCCCCCTCAGCCCCCCATACCCGTCAGCACACCTCAGGCCCCCCCTGCCCCTCCGCCAGGTCCCAGTAGCCCCAGTGCCAGTCTGCCCCCATCCACCGAGCTCTTTGTCCAGCCGCTGACCCAGCCCAGCGCTGCTGCAGGAGTACCACAGAGTCAGAACGTCATTGAGATCACCACTACAACCACAGTCACCACTACTGCTGCCACTGGAGCTGAGGAAAACGCTGTTACCACGCTCACTACTGCTGGTCAGTGTCAATGTAGACGTGACGCATGCACATGTATGCAGTGTTACAGAGCTTTGGATGTGAGGATTCCTGTCACGAAAAGATAGAAAGTGCCTTAAAAAATTAACAGTAAAATAAAACCGTATTTATTTATTTTACGGCATTTTTAATCTTTTTTTGACATTTTGATTCTGGATTACACAGCAGATTGTCTGTTGATCTTTGAGAACGAATTAAGGATTTGAAAATAACATTTAAATTCCATTACGTGTTTTCATGCATTCAATTATTGCTATGTACATTGTGTATCATAAATGTTAAAATTAAGAGACTATAAAAGCAACATATTTTTCGATTGGAAGTGCACACGATAAATGTTCCTACCATTCTGAGATATATATATATATATATATATATATATATATAT